TGGAGAAGTTGTAACTTGTAAGCAGGCAGAGAGATCTGCAGCTTTTTTACAGAAATTGTAAATAAGAAAGTAAGAGACCCCTGCATCATTGTGCAGAATCATTGAAAATCTCTAGCTCTAGCTAGTAGCTCTTCAAAAAATAGTTACCTTTCTGGCATCAATGCAGCTCCTGCATGACCTCCATTGCCTTCAAATGTTACTTTGATGCTTGCTGGAGCGGCAATTGCAGTCACAACACCAATGGAAGTACCTGCATTGACAGATAAACCAGCTTAACTATCGATACAGACTACATCTAAACCTGTCCTTGCATTGGATCATCAAAAATAGGATAACCATTTAACAACAGCCTACCTTCTTTTTCTAGAATGGGACCTTGCTCGATATGCAACTCGACAAAAGCAAAATAGCTTCCTTTTTTGAGAAAGACTTCAGATAAATCCCCCTTAGCATTTGCGTAACCAGCAGACTTGGCAGCATCAGAAAAGGAAATATTCTGGCTGTCAACAGTCTTCTTTAGAAGTTCAGCAAGTTGTACACTTCCTGCCAGCAAACGGCTGCAAATATCATGATCATCAGAGTCTCAACTGGATAGGGGGCGCGTTTAGTACTCCTATATTGCAACATAAGCAGTTAAAAAGCAAATGGAACCTAATAATTAATGTATGCCGTCTGTCCATCAGAGGGAACTCGGTGAATGCATTTGCTTATCCTCTTAGATGCTTAAGTAAGTGATCAAGATCCTAACCTTCCCAGACAGCTTATCCCAAACCTCGTGGGCTCTTCTGAAGTGAACATAATCACTTCTAGTGACCTCTTAGGCTTGAAACCCGACCTGTGGTAATTTGGATTTTAAATCAGTAAACAGAAGACAGAACTCTGCAGTTAAACAAAGTAGCAGCCAAATGCTAAGTGTATAGATAATTGTTGAGTTTTCTTTGTTTAAACAGTCTGATGGTGGAACAAAATGTTAAGTTTAAGCAGTCAGGATATATGCATACCGCTTTAGCACATTAATGGCCTCTATTGCACCCAAAACACCAACCACACCATCATATTTTCCGGAGTATGGTATAGCATCAACGTGAGAGCCAGTTAAAACGGGGGCGAGCTCAGGTTCATATCCATTCCTGTGAACCACAAGATGACAGTCATGTTCAAGATATGATAGGTAAGAAGCAAGTCGAGGGGCAGATGGGTGCAAATAAATTTTCAAATTAGACTATCTTCTAAATAAATAGAGATAAAGTCAAAGTTCCACATAAAGCATCTCATCTAAATCAATGCTAACCAGACCTTCAAGAAATCTGTGCCAGTTTATTTCACATTTTTTTGCTTTCGGGGTAAATACCAATTTTTGAAGCTAAACCAAACTACATTAATCATTTTATAAGACTTAAAATGTAGATATTCAGAAAATTTCATGAGATGTATTTCCTCGTACCAAATGGAAATAGAATATATTTCAACATATTAGTCAAAGTTCACCTAATCTGAATCCAGGAAACAGAAAATTGTCAAACATTTGATGTACTTGGATAATACATATGTATTAGAAAGCTTATGCTTTAGAATCGATGGAGAAAAGCATCATGATACAAACTTACCACCGACCAAAAATGTTCCCGACAGCATCCTCTCTAACAGAGAGACCAGAAAGTTCCATCAAATCTTTAATATAACTGCATGATAAATAAGCAAACAAGTAAACCATATGTGTTTATTTTATTACTTATTCAGAAGTAAAACAATGCTTCCAATGTTACTTTTATGAAATTGATCAAGAATGAAATAGGCATTTCATACAGATCTATGAGCAACTATAAATTTTACGAGGGAACAATAGTACAAAAAAAATTGAATGATTTAATCCCACAAGAATAAGTCAGAAAAAGAACAAATTGGTTACACATCAAACTGAATGTCCAATCATAACATACAGAAGGAACTATAGAATTTCACCAGACTGGAACTAAACTACACTGCTTTAAATACACCCCTCTTTATCAGTATAGCGTTTACTTCCTTAAACATGTCTTTTCTATTTGGTTAGTCAAGTATAGCCCATTTGTTGAGTACCACAAAGCCCAAAAAGCTATGACGGATCCACTGAACACTTCTCAAAAGTTATTATGCCAATTTTTGTCCTCAAAAGTGAAATGTAGAAGCAGATGCAATTTTCCTATTTTCATAACTTAAAAATTCAACGTTGAAAACAACAATTTCTCTAGCTAAAATCATCAGTATAAAAGAAGTGTTTCTCGTGGTAGTTTCATTTCAAACTTCTTTTTGGCAGAACATGCTCTTCCTGTCACAGAATATAGATATAAGAAATGGGCCGTACTGTATGGAAAGTACATTTTGCATGGTACCAGGTCATACACCTGATTACCTGTTCTTCTTTCGTGATTACTCAAACTATAGGAAGAGAGACGAAGACAGTTCAATTTAGTTTCAGTGAAGTTACTGAACTGACTACACCAGCTACTCCAAATTCAAGATCACATTTGCTCAACTTTTAGCTCAGTATAGTTTCTGAACTCTGAACCATAACAATAGCACAAACAGATATAGGCTTTATTTAACGTCAAATAAGCAAAATGTTCTTATAAGCTAAATATATATACCTCCTTGCTAATACATCCTTCTCACTGTATAGGATCCTAGTGACGGAAGGCGCAGGTGAATCTGAGAAAGTTGCTAGCTCCTCTATCTAGAACAACACATAGAACGACACAAGCAACAAACTATTATAAGATAAAATTTCAAAAACACTGCACTTAATATGATAACAATTGAAATAAGTTATAGCACATACATCTACATCATTTCTACAGAACAAAATACACATTCGAAATGCATAATATATTTTCTGAAAGTTCCAGTTTGTTTAAGTTGCTGTCTTTCTCAAACATAACATCACAGAAAAACGAGATGCCAATTTACACTTTTCCAGTGTACTTGAAAAGACTAAATAGTTACAAGTCATACTTTAAATTAGGTACTTTACTCAACACAACAAATTGCATCCTACTTCAAAAAAGGTGTTTTACACTCAATTCTACAAATTGTAAATCACAAAGGATATCCAACTTTAAACGAAAGTGGTCGAAACAATGGATATAAAAAAGTTTGATTTTTCCCATTCTGTTGTGCACTTTGAGCTGCATTTGATTGGATTGTTTCGGAACAAAGATTAATATTCCTACTACAGCAGTTGAAATAACCTCCCATGTTTCATCAATGATAAATTCACAGTCCAATAATGATGAAAAAAGTTAGCTTTACACAATTCCTTAATGCTTAGTAAAATGAGACTTCTAGCCTATTTGACCAAGTTTCCAGAGTCTAAAAATGCTTATTTTAAAAAAGTGAGGCGTTTGGCCAAGCTTTTGGGAGAAAATAAGTGCTTCCGGTAAATAGCACAAGCTAAAAAAGTAGTTTTTTCCTAAAAGCATTTTTGAGAATACAATCACATTGGGGTCAGCTTTATGAATCCTCACTAACCACGTTACTCCATGTAAACTCATCTCATTTGAGATAAGCTATATTAATCCTCACTAACCACATTACTCCATTTAAACTCATCTCATGCCAATATTATACAAATACAAATAAAAAGTACTTAATATTGTAGAAGTTATGTATATTTTCTAGACCAATGTATCCAGCAAACCAAACAAAACACTCTCTTTACCTTTCTTTCTTTCATGTATTTACTATTCATTACTGTATCTTTTTGTTTGTTTGTTTGTTTTCGATAAAAGGCAAAAACCCAATTCAGAGTTCACAAGAACCACAACTTCATAAGCTTTCATCACTAAAGATTCAATTTTTATAACAAATTCAAGAACACACAAACAAGAAAGTCACAAAAAGATAACTTTTTTTTGCTAAAATTACCTGTTTCTGTAGAGTATCAGAGTTGACAGATAAAGAAGATAAGGAATTGGGATATTTAGGTTCATGAATTGGGTACCCAGAAAATTCCTCCATGGTTTTAATTGTCTTGTCTTCATCATGACCAAATATTCCTGGAAGATCACAGATAAAGTATAGAGAAAAGATGAAGATGAAAAGAGAGAATCTCAAAGCCATCATTTTTTGTGTGTGTGTGTGTTATTGGGACTGTAATTTGTTTATCATATATGCTTGTACGTATAGTAGCATTTTTTTATCTACCCATTAGTATAGATATTGGAGCCTGATTAATTTGAGTCCATTCGAGGGGCTCATGACTCAAACTCTGATTAAGGAAATAGTATCTCCATTTACGGCACTACATTTATTACAAATTTTTTTCTTTTTAAGGCTACTCAAGAATTTTTAAGGCTACTATTTGAGTTGAAAGTGAAATAATTCTTTTTATCCTGAAATTGCTTTTATTAATATATAAATTTTAGTTAATTGGGTTTTATGCTTTGTTTGGATAATTATTCTATATTGTTTCATAATATATATTGTATTGTATCCTTTATTTAATTTTTTTTAAGAGTAAATTATGAGAATCATTGTGGATTTTTAGGAGATAAGGGCCAAAGGTATCTGTCACATGATCTCCGCCTTGGAATAATAACACAATGATTCCATCAATAAGTTAAACTTGAACGACTCCTAATTGGCCACCAAATATTCACTTTTAGTTCCGTCAATACTTATTGTTTTATAATATATTGTTTTTTTTACTTTTTTCACTCTGTATTCAATTTTCATATCAAAGCTCTGATTAAATTCGAGTCGTGCATTGCACAGTTCATTTGGGAATGGTATATCAAAGGTTTGAATTCGAGATCTCTAATTAAAAGGTGGAACAGTCTCACCACTGCATCACAATTGATATTGATGCATTTTAAATTTTACTTTTACCTTAAATATTTATACTAATTCAAAATTAAAATGGGTAATTTTTTATAATTATATCTTCAATAAATTAAAATTGGTGTTTTAAAAAAATTATAATTATATCTTCAATATTGAAAATCTTTTTTAGTGGGCTGAAGGAGCAGTCCATCCAAGTAAGGCGGTGCAAAATTGGTTGCATTAGGCCCAACAAAATTTATCCCAATTCAATCGCGCACAAATCAATCGTCGATTTGTCATTTGCGGAAGTCAATTGAATCGCCACCGTGCTCTCCGCCGTCGGCAACCTATCTCCGGAGAATTCAGCCGTAAGTTCCATCTTGCTCTTCACCTCTCCTTCTGACAAAAAATCTCAAGTGAAATTGGAGTGCCGGAATAAAATTGTGAATCGCGAAAACAGTTTTATCTATGTTGATTTATATAGCATGTATTCTATCAGTAATTTTCGATTTTTTTTAATCATCTCTTCCTCCTTCGAGTAAAGTACCTTGATTCCTAATCTCAAAATTCTAATGAAAAAATAGGAATTTATGAAGTTAATCTAGTAGTGGGGATTAGGAAATCTGAATTGGGTTGCATTGCTTTATTTTTGAGCCTCAAATCTGCTCTTTTCATGTGTATTTGGCTCCAAAGGTTTTATATATCAAATGCAAAATTACCAGTATTTTGTGAGTTTTTAGTTATTGTTATAGAAGCTCTAAATCTCAAGTAATTTACCTAATTTATGATGTCTTGCTTCTTATAGTTGAATCGAACTAATAGACAACATATGAGAAGAACATATTTTTCTAATATATTTGGGGATTTCGGATTTGAATGACTAGTTGAGTACAGGCTGCTGATGACCATAGTTTAGCTGTAAAGTTCAATTTTTAAGGATAATATAGGTGATAATCATTTATTAGGCTCACATCCAGTTTGAATTATTCTGTGCGCAGAAAGAAGTCTGATATTTAAGTGAAGAAGGGTAGAGGGGCGGGTCTATTATCCTTTGAGCTTCTAACCATTGGTCATTGGCCATTGGCTCTGGGGGTTTCTTGATTATTAAAAAATTTAACTGATAACATTTTGTTGCTGCAGTCATGCAACTGCTCTAATTTGTTATGTTTGATCTTGATTTCCAGGATACTGTTTGAAAAGGTAAATTTCTACAGGACTTGGTGTTAAGAGACAACCCTGAGTATGCTTTCAGGATTGAAAATCATACCACGCGAACACGTAGAAAAGGTAAGCTTACTAACGCTTTCTCATCACACAGTAGAAATCCATCGTGATGAAGTAGCATGATTCGGATTGGTGTTGAGATAAACTTTGTTCTTTTGTGTGATTGTTGCGAATGTTTCTTGAAATTTGTGGAAAAACTTCTTCTTTATTGAAGTGGATAAAATTTTGACCTTTATCTTTTCGGGTTCTTTAGTTGTGTATGAGAAAGTCTTATGCCTCTGATGCTCGTGGCCAATTTGGTGTTAGGCAAAGGATGAAAGCTTGGATGATTCTCGAAAACAGAGGAGGAGATCTGGTCATAAGAAGGATAGGGAGAGAAAGAAAAAGAAAAAATCTCGTTCCACTAGTTCAGATGATGAAGACCTTGATAAAATAAGAGCAAGGTCAAAGAAAAAGAAGTGGTATGCCTCAGATGAGGATTTGTCCTCGTATTCAGATGGAAGTGAGAGTGATAGTGCTTCTGATTATGAGAGAAAGAACAGTAGTAGGAAGACAAGTAAGAAGAGAAGAAGCAAGCACGGGAAAAGTAAAGAAAGAAGTCAAAGTTCTTCATCTGAGTCTGAAAGTGAGAAAAGGAAGAGAAGTAAGAAAGACAGACAAAGTCGGAGAGAGGGTGATGTACTGCAAAATAACTTGCTTGGTACGTATAGATTGTGTTATTCTCCAGTTAATTGCACATCGTCCCTTCCCCAAAATTAAATGAAGGGAGTAATTTATTTAGTTAATTTTTCTGTGGAATTTTTAGATAATGACTTTGATGGATCTAAGTTGCGTAATGATCATGAACTTATGAGAAAAGAAATGGGGTTGGATTGGATGCTGCGGCCTAAAGACAATGTGGATAAGATTCCTGAATCAGTTTCTAACTGTTCAGCCAAGGAGACTCCAGCTGAAGAGGTATATTTCTGGTTGATTTTATAACCTCGTGCAACTTTATATGCTCGTTACTTTCCATTGTATTATATCTTTATACAACAACATACCCAAGTAAAAGAAGAAGAAAATAATGAAGAAAGCATAATGGTTAATAAGAAAAGTAGTGTTAAGTCTAAAAGAAAGAAAGAAAGAAACAATAACAACAACAAAATAGTGTGGTATTCGAAAACACAATACACAACATAAGGCAAGAACTACTAAGGTACGACTAGTACTACGACAGGCACTAACAAGCCTAAACCTATGCATGGCAAGACAATATTGCGGGCTTTCTTATCAAGCCTTATGCCTTATGCCTTTTGTTTTATATTTAATTTGCTTTTATCAGTTTGTTCATGTTAAAAATGCAAGAGCTAGATCTAGTTGACATCATTTATTGTTCACATTGAAAAAGCAATAATGCTATGTGTTGCTATACATCCAGTCTTTGGGGATTCTTTCATTTGTTTGTTAATTATGTTAATGTCTTTATTCCAATGTATCAAAAGATTTATTTTGAATGCACAGTGACTGAACCTCCTGAATCTTTTGTATACCAAGTGCTGCTACTCTCTTCAATTCATTGAAGGAAAATGTAGTAGTAAAGGTGATCTTCTCGCACTGCTTGATATTGTTATGTACTGACTGGACCAGATTGGCATCTTGTTTTAGGTGACAAAAGTAAATCCCAAAGAACTGAACCCATATTTGAAGGATGGAGGAGGTGGTTATCCTGATGATTCAGAAGGAACAAAGAGTGGTGGTAGCCAACTTCTGTCTTCTGCTATTGTTGGTGATGGAGGTGCAAGTTGGAGGCTTAAAGCCTTGAGACGAGCTCAAGAACAAGCAGATCGGGAAGGACGGAAGCTTAATGAGGTTGGCATTTCAGTGATTGTCTTATACTTCTACTGCAGTCACTTTCTAACATTAATATTTACAGGTGGCCGCAGAACGCTGGGGATCACTTAGTCAACTTGCGGTTTCTGTGTCTTCTGGTAAAGCTGCACCAACCCGTGCTCACCTTCATGCTATCAAACGGAGGCAAGGGGCAATGGATGACAAGGAAGCTGTTACAGACAAAAGAAATCAGACTTATGCTAGAAAGGTAATGTCGGATAAGAGTTGTTGACTATACTAAAGGACAACATTAGTTGCTTTGTATTGCTTTGGTTATTCTTTACATCTTACGCTTATATATTTGTGATTTTAGTGCTTGATGGAATAACTTTTGAATATCAAGTTTTTGTTAAATTAATGTTGACTTTTTTCTTAACAATGTCGTAGTCTGATAACTAGGAGTCTGACCTTGCGCCTTATAATTTATTTTTTTTGAAATAGCTCCTTATAAATTTAGATGGAAGCTGTGCTATTTCCTTTACTGAAGAGGGAAATGACAATTTGGCTATTTTTTATCTGTGTTTTATTGGTGTTAATAGTCTCATAAACACGTGCTTGCAGGAGACGTCCCCTGGTCGTTCAAAGATGCGGATGCCCACCAACCTTAAAGACTCTTTATCATGGCGCAAAGAGAAAAACCAGAACATATCCAATGCAGATGCGGGGCTTATTGCCACTGCAATATCTAGTGTAAATAAATTCTCCAACGATGGAAATTTTATGCGTGAATTTATGCATGAAAAGAGCGGTGATTCCAGCCTTGCTCCTGATTCTTCAAATCCAAAGTCAGGGGTCTTGGAATCAAAACCAGATTTACCAGTATATGAGAGAACAAGTGAAGATGCAACAAATATCAAACCAGCATTGACTGCAAATCAATTAGCTGCAAAAGTGATGCAGCTTCGAATGAAAGGGATGCATGATGAAGCTGAAAAACTTCTGGTGAGCAATAAATTCACTCTCTTTTGTAGATTATTCAAAACAACATGACGGTTAGTCAAGACCATGTGTATTTCAAGTGACATCACTGATATTTGATGTTGCAACATATCAATAATTTGTAACGTGTCATCTGCTTTATTATTGACGGTAGGTGCCAAAAAGTTTCATCTATCCTAAGATCTATTTTCTAGCTAGTAGGATCTTCTAAATTGATGACTTCATGAGACTCTATGTTTATTGCTTGCTTTGCCCCTTTCTTCAAAAATTAGCGACAGTTAAAACATCTCCATGTTGGCAGCTTACCGTTTCTGTGAGCAAGTAAAGTGGAGAGCTGTATTATAAGACTCAATGACACTTATTCTCAAGTTGACAGTTTAGACTTCCCTGGTTGTAATCAACTTACGATATGTCACTTTCTTTTTCCAGAAAGAAGCAGAGGAGATGAAAACTAAACAAACTGCTAATGATGTGTTGAGTAGACCACGGATAGATGGGAGCACAAGCAGGTATTTTTTTACTGAATTGTCTAAAAGTTTTGTTTGTTTTAATGCCTATCAGTAACTAAATGTATTGGCTTTAATCCCTTGCTTAGATATGTGATGCATGACCTATCTGCTCGGCAAAAGAATAAAGCGGAGGATGCAGATGTGCATCTTGCTCAGAAGATAGTGCAAAACAAAAAGTATACTACATATGGTCAGGCAGATGATGAGTATGATTATGATGATGGGCCGAGGAAAAAGTCCCGGAAGAAAGGAGGGGTGGAGAATCATAAATCTCTTGAGACTGCTAATCATGCAAGGCGCATTTTGACTCAGCAGGAGAGATGCCAATTCTGCTTTGAGAATCCAACAAGACCAAAACACCTGGTGGTTGCCATTGCAAACTTCAGTTACTTATCACTGCCGGTATGGCGGTCGATTTCCCCGGGTCATTGCTGCATCTTGACAATGCAGGTGACATTGAACTCTTCTCTGGTCATATATCTATAGGTTATATTTCGGTCATTCTTGTGAACTGTACAATTTGCCAGTTAATTGAATTCTGAAGAAGTAATCTTTAGTGTGCTAGATCTCTATGAGTAGTGTCTTATGAGCAATGCTTAGCTCCCTACTCCTCATTTGTCTGCTTTTCAGCGTTTCAAGAGATCATTTGTATCAGAAGTTGACTTTTAACGATGCAAAAAGGAAGAGATCATTTACATCAGAAAAAAATAGTTTCTTTTGTGGTAGATGCTTCAGGATATTATTGCTGCCAAAAATCTTGTTATAGTGCTACCTTTGCTCTGCCAATTCTTTGCTGTTTTTTGTCATAGTGACCATTGCTTTCTCTTGGAGCAGCATGAATCAGCTACAAGATCTCTGGATGATAATGTCTGGGAAGAGTTTAGGAACTTCAAGAAATGCCTCATTATGATGTTTGCGAAGCAAGAGAAGGATCTTATTTTTCTCGAGACTGTGATGAGTTTGGCCCGGCAGAAGCGGCATTGTTTGGTAGAGTGCATTCCTTTGCCCAATGAAGTTGCAAAGCAAGCACCCTTGTACTTTAAAAAGGTTTGCAAAACCATCTTGTGTGTTGTCTGTTTTATTTTTATAGCACTGTCTATCAAATTTAGTTTCGTATGAGTTGGAATTTAGAAAATATGAGGTTGCCTAGTCTTCCGTAAATATGATATGAAGGGATTAAGGGATTTTTGGTAAAACATTTGAAGGGTTACCAGTTGGTCTCCTGTCAAATATGATTAGAATTTGGTCTGGGATTTGTGAAATATGAACCCTCATTATAGTGGCAGTGAGTCTTGCTTCTTGGTCTTGTACTATTATCGAATCATAGGATGTGCTGACTGCTAAGACGTGTTAATTTCCCCAGGAATTTGGTCTAGTGGTAAGAGTATAACAGGTGATTTGGTCTAAGCTTAGAGCCTTAGACTACTTGTACCAGAGATGAAATGTTTTTTCCCCTTCTGTACTGGAGCTACCTGGTTACACCTTTTGTAATTTGGCATCTTCCTGATGCCCATGCACTGATGATCTCTTACTTTATCAAATAAAGAAGAGTATAACAGGTGATGTGTGGGGGCACGTGTTATGTGTTCGAACTCCACCATAGACATAGGTATTGTATTTAAGTGGAGAAGGGTGGAGGTGCAGGCCTATTATCCACCAAATTTTGAACCATGCACCTTTTACCCTTGGGGATTTCTTGGTCATACAAAAGTTCATAGGATGTGCTAGGCGTATTTGGAACTAATATTATTGCAATTACATCTTTTCTTATGAACTAACGCTTATGTATTGCTGTGAAAGAAACATAGAATTGTCTTTTGGCTCTTAATAGACCTGTTATAAGAATCAAGTCCCTTAGGATTTGGTTGAAGCAAAGACTGAATATAAGCACTGTCTTCTAGAAAAACTCAAGGTTGCGCTGGCAATGCGTGCTCATTTTTTGTTCTTTTCCCTTTCTTTTGCTCCAATTTGTTTGCTGTGTCTATTTGAAGCAATTTCCTCTTCTGCACTTGCTCATAACAAATATCCACTGTAGGCGATTGATGAAGCCGAAGATGAATGGAGTCAACACAATGCTAAGAAACTCATAGATACAAGTGTAAAGGGTTTGCGGGCATCAATCCCAAAGGATTTTCCCTACTTCCATGTTGAATTTGGCTTAAACAAAGGGTTCGTTCATGTAATTGACGATGAAAACCAGTTCAGCAGCAGTTTCGGCCTCAATGTGGTAAGAGGGATGCTGAAGTTGCCACCTGAAGACATGCATCAGCATCGACGGCGTGAATCAGTTGACACACAAAGAGAAGCTGTTGCAAGTTTTGCCAGAGATTGGGACCCTTTTGACTGGACTAAACAGCTTTGATCGACTAACATTAGGTGTATGCACCTGTATTCTACGCGTAAGTTTCTTATTTTTAGCTTGAAATATGTTGAGGGAGGTTGTATTTGTAAAGGAAATGCAATTGATCATATTCATAGTATCACTACTATTGCATAATTGTGATTAGGGGTGTACATGACCGGGTTGATTCGGGTTTTTCAAATATCAAACCAAACCATTTGTGTAAAAAATTTTAATTTATAAACCAAAACTAATAAAATTCGGATTTTTTCGGATTTTTCAACCTCGGGTTGGTTCGGGTTTTTCAAATACAAATCAAATCATTGTGTCAAATTTTTTAATTTAGGGAAAAAGAACAAATATACCCCGGAACTTTTAAAAATGGTATGTATATATCCTCCGTTATACTTTGAGTTATATATACCCGCCGTCTTATTTTTGGGTCATATATATCCTTACAACAACGGAGAGACATGTGGCAACATCTGAACAATTGACTCTATTTTATTTTATTTTTCACCCACAAAACTAAAAACCCACCCGGATAATCCAATTTTATCCCTTCTACATCGTCCCCATTCACCAGCTCCGGTAACTTTCTCAGAACCATAGCTGCCACCACCCAGTCATACACTACATCCAATTTTATCTCTTCTCAATCGATTTCTCGTTTTCTAATCGATAATTTTTTGCGAAAAAAAATCCTAACAACATGAAGAAATCTAACCCAATACGGGTACAAACACATCATCTTAAAATGAATTCAAAACCCTAACAACCTCTATTGCTTTGTCTCATTTGCTTGGTACAATAGGGAAGCCAACATCCAATACTCCATGGTGTATTGTCTCCATAACCCAATGTAATGTGGAAACTCCGATAAAGTCTTGGCGTCAGCGTAATGCGAGCCAATTTAGACAACCGCTGCAGGACGTAGTGTTACTCGGCGGGTATGAGAAAAGCAGAAATTTCAATTTGTTATCAATAGTTTGATCACTATAAAAGAGGTGAGAAGATTAAACTATTTGTAATCAATAGTTTGATCTTTGCCAAAAGTTATTGAAATTTTAAAATGGGTTTCTATAGCCGAATGAACTTTCCACCATGGAAACACTTGTACTGACTATTGAGAATAGAAAAAGAGGAATAGATGATGATGGGATGAAGTGATTTGCTTGCATTGTAAAGATGTTTTAGATTGGGTCGGATTTTTATTTTCATACGGGTCGGGTAAAATAAATTAATAGATAGTTGGGTGAGTGGGTTTTTAAATTTTCATCAAAAAAAATAAAATAAAATTGGGTCAATTGTTGAGATGTTGCCACGTGTTTCTCCGTTAGTTGTAATGATATATATGACCCAAAAATAAGACGGCAAGGGTATTTACAGTCTCAAAGTATAACGAAGGATATATACATACCATTTTTGAAAATTTGGGGGGCATATTTATCCTTTTTCCCTTTAATTTATAAATCAAATCAAACTATTAAACCTTGAATTTTTTCAAATTTTTGGATTTTTTCGGTAAAGTTTGCATACAAACATATAATTAACTTGTGCTTCAAATATTTCTTTAGTCCAACCAAAATACAATTATCTAAGGTGTTTCTTAAGAAAATAACACAAAATATGAGATGAGTGATGACATTAAAATATTCAATAAAAAATAATAATGAAATCAGCATATAAATAAATATTGCAAAGTCATAGTGAAAATGATCATAATTTAAAAGTACTAAATCATGCTAAAATAAGTTTAATAAGTATTAGTTACATTACTAAATATTTAAGGAAAATTAAAATTAGATTATGTATTTTAATTGTCTAAACCAATGTAAAACTAAAGAACAAATATTTATTATTATTGTCATTCTTAGTGTTGAATTGATTTTCTTTTTGCAGTAGTATTAATTTGATTTTGATTTAAGTTTTATTATAACTATCAACATCTATGAACTATAATCTTTATTGGATCATTCCGAAATCTAAGTTTAAACTTGAAATAATACATTAAAAGATAAAAACTATGAAATAGTATTGTAGACAATAAAATTCGCGTCGAGAAAACAATAATCAAGAACGGAAAATTATGCAACAATCGTTTTATTGATTTAGGTGCGAGTGTTACAATCTCTATTATTCCTCTGAATTCGCCTTTTCAAATATAATTCAAGGGCTCTTGAGCTTGATCTTGAACTTGAGATTTATCTCGATCTTGATCTCTATCTTGATCTTGATCTTAAACTTGGACTTGGACTTGGACTTGATTTGGAACTTTATCTTGATCTTGAACTTGAACTTGAACTTTATCTTGATTTTGACTTCTAGTTGAATCCAAGGGCTTCGAGCTTGATCTTGAATCCGGCGGTCTTGATCTTGATCGTTCTTGATCTTTATCGTTCTTGATCTTGATCGTTCTTGAGACTTGAATATTCTTGAAACTTGAATGCTTGAATTCTTGAACTCTTGAACTTGTAGAGAAATCTGCAGCTTTTGATCCACGAGCTTTCTCTAGCTTCTTGTTAAAATTCTTGGTCCCCCATTATGAATTATGAGGACCCCTATTTATAGTTTTAAAATAGAGGAGTTGTGTTTAGAAGAGGACTCCTTTCGGCCAATTAGATTTAAGTGACATGGCATATGGGCTTTATGGAGCGGGCCTTAATTAAATTCATATTTATTGAATTTAAATAATTAACTCAATTATATTAGTCCATAATATTTATTTGGACTAATATATTAATGAATTTAATATAATTCCAATCATTTTATAAATTTATATTTAATAAATTTTAAATGATTACAAGTATAAGAAATATTTTAAAATTATATCAATGTAAATAGTTTTGTGTATAAAATAAAATTTTAAAATTACATATATAATGTCGGATTGGTTTGATCTCGGGTTGTTTTTTTTTAGTTAAAACCAAACCAATCCAAATATAGTCGGATTTTTTTCTCCAATGCCAAACCAAGTCAAACCAAACCACTAGTCGAGTTCTTTTTCCGGTTTGACTCAATTTGCGGTTTGGTTCGGTTTTCAATTCGATTTTGTACACCCTTAACTGTGATATACTTGAATTTGAGTAGCCAAATTTCGAGCTTTAATTTCGTACCTGCAGTAATTTAAACTCACACTGGTAAACTGAATCCGTCAAGCCTTACTATTGAATTGTAGAGCATCAAGCAAGGATTAATCCAAATTTATCATTTATCTTTGAATATTTATTTGGTCATTAAATCTTATCTCCAAATATTTTCAAGACAAATATCAAGTACTTACAATTATAACACATTTTTTTATGTGTCCTATATAGTACTGACAAAATGACCCATAAAAAAGAATATCATGAGGGGACCATGGCTCTTTTAATAGCAAACATGCATGATTGAGTTGAATGATTTATTTTTTTTTAAAATGAAATAATTGTAAGTACTTGATATATGCCTAGATACATGTTTTCTGCTACGTAATAGAGAGAGGCGAACAAGAATATGAGGGAGGCAAGCGAATTTGTTTATGTATCCTAGATAATACGTGTATATACAGTTCTCTCTCGCTTTATACAAACACAAACACAATTTATACATTTGTATTTGTATAAAGTGAGAGAGGCGAGCCAGAGAGTGGCGAGTGAGATTTTAGAGAGTGGCAAGCGAGATTCAGGGGAGAGAGGCGAATGACAATGTGTTTGCTACGAATTAGAATTAAATGAAACTGTAGCTATAACATTTATTTTGAATTATAATTTGCTATAATTCACAATTTTCCCTATTATAAACTAGCGTGAACCTAAGTAATTAACTTCTAAATTAGTGAAATTTATGTAGGTTTTTATTTTTAAAAATATAAGTTTTTTTTAATAATTCAAAATTACCGAAATGGTATACCCTACAATTGATAATTTAAATATTTTAAAAAGTATATATAAAAAATAAAATTAAAATAATAAATTTATTTGACTCTCAAACTTAGAAAATCCTCACATATTGAGATGGGAGAGTAAAATAATCTTTGGTTGGCATTTGGCAAAGGAAACGAATTTATCGAGGTTGCATTAGCTTAAATTTTGCGGAATTAGATTTCGTATTCTTTTATGGGGAAATGAATTTCTTATGAATCAAACTGTTTTTTTTTTACGTAGTTTTTAAAATATATAAATTTTATATCAAAAAAATTAAATTTTTTATATCCAAATAATGCCACATAAATGCATTGAGATAAATGAAATATTTTTTACGTGAAAATTAGCATACAAAAATCATAAAACATGAAAATCAAGTAAAAGAAAGCTTTCTATATTCCTTTGCACAAGAATATTAAGAATTTATACAATCGATCACGATTTGAGAACTAGTTTATGTAATTACTACTTCTTTATTTCTTTTTTTCTTCTTATTTTGCCAGTATATATTTGTTCATTCTGGTGAAGTGTATATACATTCAAATAAGATCTATTCTTAAAATATTGAATTCATGTGAATTCAAAAATCAACCGTTTTGTATCTCTCTATTCAAGATTTACTTTTTTTTTTAAAAAACTACACGTAAATTCAATTTTCACTATCCTCCTTCAAAACATAATATTTTTTTCCTTATTTTCAAATTGTTCAACATGTGGTTGTTAGACACCACTAGTATGTAGTACCTCACTACAATGAAGGCAACCTCTGCCTATAAATTTGTGTGATGCACTCTTACAAATTCACTCAATTCCTTCTACTCTTGCATCTTGGGTTATGTTGTAGAAATGCCTGTGGTTGGTTAATTAATGGATTATTACTGAAGTAATTAAGCAGCCACATGTCAAGAATAATTAGGGTTCATTATAACGTCTCCATGTATTCTTACTATATCTAATGGAATAAATAAGTGTGGCTTAATTAAATGTGTACTACTTTTTCTGTTTCATTTTATTTTTTTTTGTATAATTTTGATTTAACACATAATTCAAAAAAATAAAATAAAAATTTAAATCTTGTGATCCTGAAACAAAAATATGTTTGTTGTTTGTCTTAATTGAATAATCTCATGACCAAACAACTAAATCTCATGAGAGTCTTTCTTCAAAGATATTCAAAGTCTATTATTTATCAATAACAACTACTCCATCCATCTCATTTTATGTGAGATAGTTTGACTCGGCATAGAGTTTAAGAAAGAAAGGAAGATTTTTAAAACTTGTGGTTCAAAATGAACGATAAAAAATTGTGAGGCTGTAAATCATTCATTAAGGGTAAAGTAGACTTTTTATAGTTAAATTGCTACTTAATATAGAAATGTGTCATTCTTTTTGGGGCAGACTAAAAAGGAAAGTAAGTCACATAAACTGGGACAGAGGGAGTAATAATTTATCGTATATAAACTATAATTTTCCAATTAAGAGTATTTGTTAGGCGTTACTCCTTCACTGTTTCTTTTTTTTTCTTCTTGTTATTTTGTCCGTTTGTATTTGTGTTTTCTTGTTTGTAAAGTGTATATATTTTCAGATAAGATTTATTCTTAAAATATTGAATTCTAGTAATTTCAAGAATCAATCCTCTGTATCTCTCTTTATGACTTTATAAACATCTTTGGGACCATATATTTAATTAATGTGCGGTAGCTAGGATTTGAATTGTAATTGTCAAACTAGTCCCCCTCTCCCGGCCCCCACCCCCAACTCCCTCCCCACTACACCCCAAAAAATAAAAATAAAACATGACAATATACTTTTATCGTTAATGTTTTGAGTTGTGTATACTCTTAAAACTAACAGATGGACACGTGACTTCATCTCAATAATTTACCTGATTTATTTAATTTTTTACCCAAAATCAAATTCAATAGATTTATCATAAATTTTATATTTGTTTTGAAATTTATTACATATATATGTTTAAATTAAAATTTGGAACTCATGTATTGTTATTTGAATTCGTTATCGTAAATTTAGAATTATAACATTTAACTCCTAAATCTTTCTCTATTACTTACAAAATGATTCATCAATAAAAACTTTTCATAGCTAGAGACCATAACATCTCTACGTTTGCTAGTAAATCTTTTTAAATTTCGTTTTATATTGTTTTTTGGGAAAAGGCTCAAATATACTATTGAACTTTCAGAAAAGGCTCATTTATGCCATCCGTTAAAAGTTTGGCTCATCTATGTCATTACCGTTTAAGAAAAGGTTCATTCATGCCATTAATTTTTAACAGTGGTTTTGCAAAACCATTTTTTACACGTGGCAAATTATAATTCGGCCACATGATTTTATTTTTTTTACAAAAAAAAATCAAAATTCTGAACAAAAATTAAATTAAAATAACCCACCCAAGTAAAGACCCACCCAAATTTTAAAAAATCCCTATAACCCATCAATAACCCAATTATTTCATTCAATTTTTCAATCTAAAATCCCTAAGACCCTTCTCGACCCTCTTTCACTTCTTGGCATATATATGAATTTAATATCATGTAGTGCTTATGTTATTTAGGTACTTTGGCAACCATTGAAAGCTAGCTTATGTTAGTTAGGTACTTTATCAAGTAATTTTCAATGTAATTTTATTGCTTATTTTTATTATTTTGGTACATTGTCAACCACTAAAGCTCGACCATGGCAGTAAGAACAAGCGAATTTCCAAAGGCAAGAAGGGTCGAGAAGGGTCTTAGGGCTTTTAAAAAATCCACTTACAATTTTAATTTTCTTTAAAAAATGAGCTTACAAATCCAACATGTATTTTATATATTTATAGATCTTCTATGTTATTTTGTAACAATCTCCTTTAAAATAAAATTAAAAAAACCTATATACAACTAGAAAATTTATAAACGATTACAAAATTAAATCTCCCGCTTTACCCTTATCCAATTTATAATATACCAATTAGTGGTATTAGTGTATATGATATGTCCCTATACACTATACGTGAATTAAATTTTCACTGTCCCTCCTCACTTCTTGTATGTAATTAAAAATATATCAAAACATAATAATTTTTTCCTTATCTTCAAATTGTTCAACACGTGGTTGTTAGACACCACTAGTATATAGTACCTCACTACTAGGGGTGTACAAGTCAAACCGAACCGACGAACCAAATCAAATCGAAAAAAAAATCGACTTGTGGTTTGGTTTGGTTGGTTTGGCGGTTGAAAAAAAAAACCGACAACTCTTGGTTTGGTTTGGTATTAAAAGAAAAAAAAGTCAAACCGACATAATATATATATATATATATATATATATATATATATATATATATATATATATATATATATATATATATATAAAATTTTATTTTATTTATAGATAAAAAAAACATTATTTATAATCTACTTTGTTAATATAGTTTTTAGTGTTTATATATTTTATTTCAAATTTGGGGTTGTAAAATTTTGTAAATAATATAATTTTTATTTTATTTATAGATAAAAATATTATTTATAATCTACTTTGTTAATATATTTCTAGTTAGTTTATAGCTTTCAATGTTTATATATTTTATTTCAAATTTGGGATTGTAAAATTTTGTAAATATTATATATATAATTTTATTTTATTTATAGATAAAAAATATTATTTATAATCTACTTTGTTAATATATTTCTAGTTAGTTTATAGCTTTCAATATTTATATATTTTATTTCAAATTTGGGATTGTAAAATTGTAAATATTATATATATAATTTTATTTTATTTATAGATAAAAAATATTATTTATAATCTATTTTGTTAATATATTTTTAGTTAGTTTATAGTTTTCAATGTTTATATATTTTATTTCAAATTTGGGCTTGTAAAATTTTGTAAATATTATATATATACTTTTATTTTATTTATAGATAAAAAAATATTACTTATAATCTACTTTGTTAATATATTTTTAGTTAGTTTATAGCTTTCAATGTTTATATATTTTATTTCAAATTTGGGCTTGTAAAATTTTGTAAATATTATATATATAATTTTATTTTATTTATAGATAAAAAATATTACTTATAATCTATTTTGTTAATATATATTTTAGTTAGTTTATAGTTTTTAATGTTTATATATTTTATTTCAAATTTGGGCTTGTAAAATTTTGTAAATATTATATATATAATTTTATTTTATTTATAGATAAAAAAATATTACTTATAATCTACTTTGTTAATATATTTTTAGTTAGTTTATAGTTGTCAATGGTTATATATTTTATTTCAAATTTGGGCTTGCAAAATTTGTAAATATTTTATTTTTTATTAAGATCCGAAGTTACAATTATATTGTTATAGTTTTTCAAATTCGAAGTTAACAATTTTTTTTGTAAATATTTCATTTTGTATTCAGTTTGACTGTATCCTTTAATCTTATTAATTTAACATAATGAACATTGATATTTCAAAAATATATATTTTGTACTCATGTGAATTTTACCGTCTTTACAAAAATTTCTATTCATTTAACATTTCTTAAGTTTAGCTTATCACACAGGTAGGTGAAAATATATTTGATCTCTTTTTTAAACACCGTTAAGTTGTAAAAAACCGAAAAAACCTAAAAGAACTGACTAAAATCGAGACCGAAAAAAACGAAAAAAACCTGAAAGAACTGATTAAATCGAGACCGAAAAAATCGACTTTGCGTGATTTGATTTGATATATAGATTTAATAAACCGACTTAATTAATTTAAATTTTTTTTAATGAAAAATCAAACCAAACCGACCTATGTACCCCCTGCTCACTACAATGAAGGCAACCTCTGCCTATAAATTTATGTGATGCACTCATACAAATTCACTCAATTCCTTCTACTCTTTACAACTAAAAGAAAATGGAGTCAAAGTTTGCTCACATCATTGTTTTCTTTCTTCTTGCAACTTGTTAGTACCCTTCCCCCCCCCCCCCCCCCCGGCTCTCTCTCTATATATATATCAAGAATATTATTAGAGTTGTAAATGATTTATATTTCTTTTGCGATATGGGGGTTGAGGGTGTGTGTGGGGGGGAGGGGGGGGGTTCACAAAGGATTTACCTTATACTATATATACATAAAAAAAAATAGTTTGATCTGATAAATATAATGTGACTAACCGGCAAAGCAGGTTCGAAAGGACGACTTGTTCAATGACTTTGTCGATTGACATCCCTTTGCTGAAAAATTACATCATGTAGTGAAAATATTGACTCTCTTAGTGAAAATGTATATATTGACTCTCTTAGTAATAATGTTGGCTCTGCCAAAGTTCGGATGAATCTCCTTCTACCCTTGCTTGTGCCAAAAAAATTTAGGCATCATAATTTTCTGATAATCTAACTTGAAATGAGAAATACACTAATTGCTATTGAATTGTTTTTTATTTTACAGCCTTTGAAACTCTCTTGGCACAAAAAGAAAGTGATGGACCAGAAGTCATAGAACTTCTAAAGGAGTTTGAATGCAATGGTAAAGTTCTTTTAAAGGAATTTGCTTTTTTAGCTTCTCAAAAAAGAGTTTTTTCTACTATTAAAAACACTTGTTTTTTTCTTAAATCCTTAACCAAACACTTCAATTCTCTAAAATATACTCTTTAAAATAAGAAGTCATTGTTGACTTTTCTGAGATTTGGCCAAACAAGGTGTAGATTATTCAATTCTGGAACATTTTATTAGTTCAGTTGGTTAATTACCTAACATTTTACATTATTGATAACTATTCGATTCTCCACCTTAAAATCTCTTCCGCTACTCCCATTTTAAAAAAAAAGTAAATATCATGATTCAACTCGATGTTTGCTATTATAATAACACATATAGAATATATTATTCTTGTTCTTAATTTCTTTCTCTCATTATAATTAATTATTATGTGTATATATATGTAGGAAAACAAAGGTGGCCAGAACTTATTGGTGTACCAACAAAGCTTGCTAAGGGGATAATTGAGAAGGAGAATTCACTCATAACTAATGTTCAGATACTACTGAATGGTTCTCCAGTCACATTGGACTTTCGTTGTAATCGAGTTCGTCTTTTTGATAACATCTTGGGTGATGTTGTAGAAATCCCTGTGGTTCGTTAATTAATGGATTACTGAAGCAATTAAGTAGCCACATGTAAAAAATAATTAGGGTTCATGTATGTTGATTATAATGTCTCCATGTACTCTTACTATATATAATGAAATAAATAAGTGTGGCTTAATTAAATGTAATCTTCTTAATTAAATCCTTTTACATATTGTGCATTACTTTGGTTGTTTCTATTTGTTTGTATGATTTTGATTAGACACATAATTAAAGAAAGTAAACTAGGGTTTTAATTCTTGTGGATGAATAAATAATATGTGGAATGTATCAAAAATGATATTTAATCTTGTAATTTTAAACATGTCAAGTAGAAAATTAAAATTAAAAGAGTTATCATAAAAGAAAAAAAATATTTTTTCTAAACAAAGTAAGACATAAAGTAAACAAACAAATTAAATTGGAGAGAGTATTTGTCTTAATTGGATAATCTCATGACCAAACGGCTAAATCTCATGGGAGTCTTTCTTCAAAGCTTATTATTTATCAATAAAAACTAATATTTTATCGTATATAGACTATAATTTTCCAATTAAGAGTATTTGTTAGGTGTTATTCCTTCACTGTTTTTTTTTTCTTGTTATTTTGTTAGTTTGTATTTGTGTTTTCTTGTTTGTAAAGTGTATATATTTTCAAGTAAGATTTATCCTTAAAATATTGGGTTCTCATAATTCCAAAAATCAATTGCTCTGTATCTCTATTTAAGATTTTAACATCTTTGGGACCATATATTTAATTAATGTGTGGTAACTAGGATTTGCATTGTAATTGTCAAACTAGTCCCCCCACCCCATTCCCTCCCCACCACACCCCAAAAATTAAAAATAAAAGGTGACAATATGTTATACTTTCTTTGGAACAAATTAAGAAGGTTGAGGGATCAATAGTAAACAAAAATATCATTATAGGTGTGGAAAGATAAATATGTATTCATCTTTAATGAAAAAAAATTAATTTATGCATTGCATATATAAGAAAACTCCTCAGTATAAATTTCTATTAATTGAACTCTAAAGCAAATATCAAATATCAAATAAAAAACTTAAAAAAAGTAAACAAAAATAATGATACACAATTGAGAAGAATACAAAATCTAGCTAGCCTTGTTATAGAATAAAGAAGTTAAATTGCCAATAAATTAATTAAGGTTTTTTTGGTTCCTCCTATTTTGAGGCAATTTTATTGATTTTTTTTTTTAAATGAAAGAAGTTTGTCTTTTAGAATTTTGAACTACTCCCTCCATTCACTTTTACTTGTCACTTTTGACATATCAAGAAAAGACAATAAATTTTTTTCCATATTTTACCTTCAACATTAAATACTTATTTTTCAAGACATCATTTAATTGGATTAGTTTGGTAAAATACCTATATCAATAATTATTTTATTAATGAATGTGACAAATCAAAGTGTCAATGTAAAAGTGAACAAAGGGAGTACTTTAAATGAATTTTATTTCATTTAAATCCAAAAGTTTATTTAAACAAGATTATTCCCCATTTAAAAGACAATAATAAAAACTCAGCATAATGCTCCAACCTTTATATTTCCAATTTCTAAGGAGGAAAATGATTTCCTAAGCCTTTTTTTTTGGTAAAGAAGAAATTTTTTCATTAAGCATAATCAAGATCTTCTATGTTATTTTCTTAGTAATCTCCCATTACTAAAACAATAAAATTAAACTAGAAAATATTTATAAACGACTATAAAACTAAATCTCCCATTATTATGTATAAAATAAAATTTTAAAATTATATATATAATGTCGGGTTGGTTTGGTCTCTAGTTGGTTATTTTAGTTAAAACCAAACCAACCCAAATATCGTCGGGTTTTTTTTTCCAATACCAATCCAAGTTAAACCAAACCACTAGTCAGGTTTTTTGTTCGATTTGACTCGATTTGCGGTTTGGTTTGATTTTATACCCCTAATTGTGATATATTTGAATTTGAGTAGCCAAATTTCGAGCTTTAATTTCGTACCTGCAGTAATTTAAACTCACACTGGTAAACTGAATCCGTCAAGCCTTACTATAGAATTGTAGAGCATCAAGCAAGGATTAATCCAAATTTATCATTTATCTTTGAATATTTATTTGGTCATTAAATCTTATCTCCAAATATTTTCAAGACAAATATCAAGTACTTCCAATTATTACACATCTTTTATGTGTCTTATATACTACTGACAAAATGACCCATAAAAAGAATATCATGAGGGGACCATGGCTCTTTTAATAGCAAACATGCATGATTGAGTTGAATGATTTATTTTTTAAAAAAAATGATATAATTGTAAGTACTTGATATATGCCTAGATACATATTTTCTGCTACGTAATAGAGAGAGGCGAATAAAAATATGAGGGAGGCGAGCGAATTTGTCTACTTATCCTAGATAATATGTGTATATATAGTTCTCTCTCGTTTTATATAAACACAAACACAATTTATACATTTGTGTTTGTATAAAGTGAGAGAGGTGAGCCACAGAGTGGCGAGTGAGATTTCAGAGTGGCAAGCGAGATTCAGGGGAGAGAGGCGAATGACAATGTGTTTGCTACGAATTAGAATTAAATGAAACTGTAGCTATAACATTTATTTTGAATTAATAATTTGCTATAATGCACAATTTTCCCTATTATAAACTTGCGTGAACCTAAGTAATTAACTTCTAAATTAGTGGAATTTATGTAGGTTTTTATTTTTAAAAATATAAGATTTTTTTTAATAATTCAAAATTACCGAAATGGTATACCCTACAATTAATAATTTAAATATTTTAAAAAGTATATATAAAAAATAAAATTAAAATAATAAATTTATTTAACTCTCAAACTTAGAAAATCATCACATATTGAGATGGGAGAGTAAAATAATCTTTGGTTGGCATTTGGCAAAGGAAACGAATTTATTGAGGTTGCATTAGCTTAAATTTTGCGACATTAGATTTCGTATTCTTTTATGGGGAAACGAATTTCTTATGAATCAAACTGTTTTGTTTTACGTAGTTTTTAAAATATATAAATTTTTTATATCCAAATAATGCCACATAAATGCATTGAGATAAATGAAATATTTTTTACGTGAAAATTAGCATACAAAAATCATAAAACATGAAAATCAAGTAAAAGAAAGCTTTCTATATTCCTTTGCACAAGAATATTAAGAATTTATACAATCGATCACGATTTGATAACTAGTTTATGTAATTACTACTTCTCTATTTCTTGTTTTCTTCTTATTTTGTCAGTATATATTTGTTCATTCTGGTGAAGTGTATATACATTCAGATAAGATCTATTCTTAAAATATTGAATTCATGTGAATTCAAAAATCAACTGTTTTGTATCTCTCTCTTCAAAATTTTACTTTTTTTTTTGGAACTACACGTAAATTCAATTTTCACTGTCCTCCTTCAAAACATAATATTTTTTTCCTTATCTTCAAATTGTTCAACATGTGGTTGTTAGACACCACTACAATGAAGGCAACCTCTGCCTATACATTTGTGTGATGCACTCTTACAAATCCACTCAATACCTTCTACTCTTGCATCTTGGGTTATGTTGTAGAAATGCCTGTGGTTGGTTAATTAATGGATTATTACTGAAGTAATTAAGCAGCCACATGTCAAGAATAATTAGGGTTCATTATAACGTCTCCATGTATTCTTACTATATATAATGGAATGAATAAGTGTGGCTTAATTAAATGTGTACTACTTTTTCTGTTTCAATTTTTTTTTTGTATAATTTTGATTTAACACATAATTCAAAAAAATAAAATAAAAATTTAAATCTTGTGATCCTGAAACAAAAATATGTTTGTTGTTCGTCTTAATTGAATAATCTCATGACCAAACAACTAAATCTCATGAGAGTCTTTCTTCAAAGATATTCAAAGTCTATTATTTATCAATAACAACTACTCCATCCGTCTCATTTTATGTGAGATAGTTTGACTCGACACAGAGTTTAAGAAAGAAAGGAAGATTTTTAAAACTTGTGGTCCAAAATGAACGATAAAAAATTGTGAGGCTGTAAATCATTTCATTAAGGGTAAAATAGACTTTTTATAGTTAAATTGCTACTTAATATAGAAATGTGTCATTCTTTTTGGAACTAACTAAAAAGGAAAGTAAGTCACATAAACTGGGACAGAGGGAGTAATAATTTATCGTATATAAACAATAATTTTCCAATTAAGAGTATTTGTTAGGCGTTACTCCTTCACTATTTCTTTTTTTTTCTTGTTATTTTGTCCGTTTGTATTTGTGTTTTCTTGTTGATAAAGTGTATATATTTTCAGATAAGATTTATCCTTAAAATATTGAATTCTCGTAATTTCAAAAAATCAATCCTCTGTATCTCTCTTTAAAACTTTAACATCTTTGGGACCATATATTTAATTAATGTGCGGTAGCTAGGATTTGAGTTGTAATACTCTGTATCTCTCTTTAAGACTTTAACATATTTGGGACCATATATTTAATTAATGTGCGGTAGCTAGAATTTGAATTGTAATTATCAAACTAGTCCCCCTCTCCCGGCCCCCACCCCCAACTCCCTCCCCACTACACCCCAAAAAATAAAAATAAAACGTGACAATATGTTATACTTTCTTTGGAACAAATTAAGAAGGTTGAGGGACCAATATGTATTTATTTCTAATTAGGTTTTTGTATATACTTTTATCGTTAATTTTTTGAGTTGTGTATACCCTTAAAACTAACAGATGGACACGTGACTTTGTCTCAATAATTTACCTGATTTATTTAATTTTTTACCCAAAATCAAATTCAATAGATTTATCATAAATTTTATATTTGTTTTGAAATTCATTAAATATATATGTTTAAATTAAAGTTGGAACTCATGTATTGTTATTTGAATTCGTTATCGTAAATTTAGAATTCTAACATTTAACTCCTAAATCTGTCTCTATTACTTACAAAATTATTCATCAATAAAAACGGTTCATAGCTAGAGACCATAGCATCTCTACTTTTGCTAGTAAATCTTTTTAAATTTCGTTTTATATTATTTTGGGTTAAGGCTCAAATATGTCATCGAACTTTCAGAAAAGGCTCATTTATGTCGTCCGTTAAAAGTTTGGCTCATCTAT